GTGCCGCCCGCGGAGACCGGGGCTGGCGCCTGGGGACCCCGCGTGGCCTTTGGGCAGAGCCCCTAGCCGCGCTCTCGGCACCGCCTCCCGTCGGCAGCCCCGTAACTAGACCAGCGGGGCAGGCTGAGGTGCTCCCCTGCCCGGTCCAGGCCTCCCTGCCCCTCCGGAGCTCGGGCCAGAGTCCCGGCCAGAGTCCCCGGCTTTATGGCCCCAAGCCCGGCCTCTGGCCGCACGTGGGGGTGGGGGCCAGTGGAGGGAGGAGTGTGCTAAGCTGTGGGAAAGGCGAGGAGGTGTGAGCACACCAGCTGGGCCGCCCCTTTCCGGCGGCTGACCCTGCCCCATGGGGGGGCATGTTCATGGCAGCTGGCGCTGGGACTCTGGGACTGTGCAGGGCGTCTAGGACCTAAGAGCTGACCTGGCAGTGGCTCCCGGCTCAGCTGCGGAGAGCCTGGATCCTCACCCTGGCAGCGCTCCTCTCCGAGGCTGGCCCACCTCGGGGCAGCGCCCTACCCTGAGGAGCAGGCGGGACACTGGGAGCTGGCGAGGCGCCCTGGGCCCGTCCCGCTCCTTTGGAGCCCCTGTGGGGGGGCAGAGCTCACCCCCACCTCGTGCCAGCCAGAGAGGGTCCCGCGGGCCCCTGTTCTAGGCACTGACCTCTGGAGAGTCCAGCTTGCCCCTTCCCAAACGGAGGAAGCAGGGCACGCAAGCCAGGAGCTGCCCTGGAGAGGGCGGACGAGCTGGCCCCAGGCTGGCTCCTGACCGGGGCGGGGTGGAGAGGGACGCCTCGTTCCTCCTCGGAGCTCAGACACCGGAGGGGACCCTCCCTGGCGTGGGACGGAGCCACAGGGCCACCCGGCGGGCAGCAGGCAGTCTCCTCTTGGCGCTGAGCGGTCACGGGGGCGCCAGAGCCTGCACCCCAGCCCGCCCTGCCAGCCCGGGGCCCTCCCTGGGCCTGGGCCTCAGGCCGCGCAGCCCGAGGGGTGGTGCCGCGGGGCTGACCGCGGGCGGTTGCACAGCTCCTGGGGCAGAAGGGGGCTCCCGCAGCCCTCAGGGGCCCTCTCCTCACGGGGCCGTTAACCCCTGTGTCTCAGGCTCAGGTGGCTCCCCACTGGGAAAGGGGCCTGGACCCTGCTGCCCTCCACCCCCTGCCAACCACCAGGAGCCCAGGGCAGGGGCTCCCGGCGCACCCCTCTGCTGCCCCCTGGTGGGCGCGGGCACTTTCTGCTGGCCTGGCCGCTACTGTGCTTCCTGAGGCAAACCCCTGCCCGCCCCAGCCCTGGGGCAGTTCCTGCTCAGGGAGCCCCCCACCCCTCCCTCCGTGGGGCTGCGCAGGCTGGCTCCCCAGGGCCCACGAAACTTCCAAAAAGTCCCGCTGCAGCCCACCTGCCCTCGGACTCAGCCCGCTCTGCGGACTGCCCCCTGCACACCCTCTCGCTCTGTGCAGTGGCCGCTGGGGCGGGCCACGGGACAGCAGGCCGCCCCCGGAGGGCGGCCTCTGGCACGGTGACCGAGGCCTCTTTCTCAAGAGGCCCTGAGCCCCTGCAGGGGTAGGGCGGGGGGCCTTGGGGTGCGGTCACTGGCATGGGGGCAATGGCGGGCGCAGGCGCGCCGGCCCTCACCTTCCCGGCCCCGGTCCCTTAGCTCTGTCCTCAGCAGCCCTGCAGGGGGCCAGGCAGGCGCCCGGCCCGGCCCCCCACCTGCCCTCCCGGCACCGCAGGGGCGTCCCTCTCGCCTGCCCAGCCTGGAGCCCAGGCAGCGGGCCCTCTGTCCCGGGCCATTGCCCAGCGGGCCCAGCAGGGGGGTGTCCAGAGGGCAGGCGCCGCCGGAGACGGGTGACGCGCCAGCTGGATGGAACCGGCCTGTGCTTTCAGCGAGGCCGCGGCAGCGATCCCGTCCGCAGCCCGGGGTCTGCCCGCGGCCGGTGCTGGCGGCGCGTCCTGCCGTGGCGTGGCGGGTCCCTGGTCGGCTCGTGACCACTTCCGCGGTCACCCCAGGGAGCCCCGGCGGCCGTCCCCAGACTCCGCGCACGTCACCTCACCCTGCAGCCTCCCGTCATGGCAACGGTTGCTGCCCCGGGGGCAGATGCAGAGACCGGCTCGCACGCCCGCCACGTGGTCGCTGCCCGGCCAGCGGCCCTCGCAGCCCCGTCCGCCTCGGCCTCCCGCGTGTGACCGGCGCTGCTGTCGAGGCGCCTGCCTGGGCCCGGCGTGGGGGCGGGGGTGGCCTGCACCTTCACCTGTGCGCACCCCACTGCGGAAATGGGGTGCACGTCAGGGTTGGTTGAGAGTGGCCGCGGGGGTGTCTGAGCGGAGGGAGGGGCGGGGTGGCCGGGTGGGGGCTGGGGACCCCACCTGCCCCGGCCCTGGACGGGAGCACGCGTGGCCTTCCGCGTGTGGCTGCTGACGCGTCCTGGGGGCAGCCGGGGCCCGGGACCGTTCCCTCCGCCCAGACTCCTGGGGGACGCACCCCCAGGCAGGGCGTTCCCGGCGCCTCTCCGTCCCGCCAGCTGGCCCTCGTCCCACAGCCACCGTCCCAGCGACGCTGACAGCTGCTGGAAAGGCCCCACCGACCAGGGGCCACCCCTGCATCCCCAGCCAGACCCCAGCCCCCCGCCCCCTCGCTGCCTCACACCCCCTGCCGGCTGACCCTGCCTCTCCCGTGGGCGGCTAGCCCACTGCCCGTCCAGCCTGCCCCAGCGCCCGCGCCCCGCCCACGAAGTACCACAGAGCCGGTCTCGGAGGCGCCCCACCGCCCCAGGGGCGCTGCCCCACCCCGCCCCTCACACACATTTTGCGAATTCCTTCTACAGCTTCATCACCCGAATTCAGCTGTCAGCATTTCCCGGGACGTAGGTGTAGAGCGAGACCATCTGGTCCACGTGGGGTCAGATTCCCCCCAGGGGAGGAGGGGAGTAGGGGGGCATTTGTTTGAAAAAGCAAAATAGGGGCTTTTCTCTGCGTGTTGCTTCAACCTTGCCCATGACGTCAAACGCCACAGGCCGCGGGCTGCATCCCTACTGTGGCCTCTGAGTGCCAAATGGCCACCGTCTGGGCACCTCTGGCCACCGCTCGCTGGCGCGGCCCCAGCTCCTCCGACAGGGGCCTGGAGCCCCGAGGCAGGGCCGTGGGGACTGAGACGCAGGGCACAGCCGGTGAGGGTTTCCGCAGAGGCCGCTGGTCTCGGCAGCGGCAGGACAGCGGAGGGGACCCACACCCCCCAGGCTGGCTGAGAGCGGGGCCCCAGGGTGACCCCCGACCTGGGGCTGTGGCCCTGCAGGCCCCAGCGCGGCCTCAGCAACGGGGAGACAGCGCCCCCTGGCGCCCAGGCCGGGAAGAGCTGGCTCGAAGTCCGCGGGCCTCGCCGGTGTCCGGCCTGGCCGGCCCAGGGCGGCGGGCAGCTCTGAGGAGTGGGGGCCCCTGCAGCTGCGCCAGCGCCTCTTCACGGGGCCACACATGCGCAGGGTGACGTGACCCTCCCGTGAGGCCACAGAGCCGAGTCCCAGCGCGGTCCCATGGCCCCAAGATACCCGCGCCTGCGAGCCATCGCCCCAACGCTGCGGTCCATGAGCCGAGGACGCCCCGGCCTGCCGCCCGGTGTGAAGGGGTCACACGAACACGACGTGTCCACCCAGCCCGGCCTCCCGCTCCCGCCTGGGGGCCGTGTCCGGGACAGCGTCCCTCCTCACGGGGAAAGCGGGCCGACCCTGCTACTCAGCCACCGGCACCGACTGTGGGTTTCCCACACGTGGTCACCCCGGACTGACTAACGGGGTGCTGTGCCTCCAGCCCTCCGCACATCGGTCTTCAAACCCCACGAGCGCTTGGCATGGATCGTCGTTACGTCGCGAACCCCAAACGTCTGGGGAGCATCTGAAATGTGTGGAGGTCCACAAGAGGCGTTGCTGAAGGAGCAGGTCCCCGCACCCCAGTTCAAGCGCCCCGAGAAGTTGCTTGAACCGCAGCGAGTAGCCACCTCTAGGTGAACTAAAGCACCCTCACGGGCGGCTGCTGCTGGGCGCTACAGGCTCCCAGGCCGCTCCGGGGCGCCCTTGGAGGTCCGAGCCATCCCCCAGTACCGCCCACGCTGCCTTCTGAAGCCACGAGGGGGCTGCCCGGCCCCTGGGCCCCCAGGAGGCTGTGGGACCCTACAGGGTCCTTAGCCCACCCAGCGGGCTCGGCCGGCGGGGGCAGGTCGTGGAGCCCCGGGAATCCCAGGCCCTGCCCCCGACCTCGTGACAGCTGGGCAGACCGGAGAGAAAGGCTCCCCCAGCCACTCTGCGCCGGGCAGCCACTGAGACACGGTCTCCCCACCTGGGAGCTGGACCGGAGGTACCTCAGGTCAGAGGGTCAGTGAGATGGACGCGCCCAGCTTCCCCAGCGTGTCCAGCCAGTGCTTCAGGCCTCGCGCTTTGCCCCGGCGAAGGTTCAGCTCCCTCGGCCACTGAGCTGCACCTGGGCCCCGTCCGAGGCAACAGCATGTCCACCAACAGGGAGGGCCAGTACCGCCTCCTGCCCAGGCTGTAAGAGGAGCCTCACCAGGCCCCGCTCCCCATTCCCCAGGCACCCCTCGCCGCCCGCCTCCACACAGGCCTCCGCCAGGGCCCAGGAGTGGGGCCGCCTGTCAGGTGTGAGCGGCCAGCCTCCCACCGGGGCCTCAGGGGCTGACCCTCCGTTGTCTTTCGACAACTGGCCCCGTGACATCCCAGGCCCTCCCCACGCCCACCCAGCCTCCCTCAGCCCACGCTCCCACTGCGCCCCCACGCCAGCCGCTGGTCTGCAGGAGCGGGAGCAGACGGTGTGCATGAGTGGCGAATGTTGCCGGCCAGCCGGAGAGGGCCCGGCTGCTCAGAGCTTTCCCCAAGGGTGCTTTGGGGTGGGGGCACCTGCAGAAGAGGAGTTAGTCCGTCTCGGACACTGGAACCAGGCCAGAGTCATCATCCAAGCCACGGAAACGGGGCCTGGGGGTCAGGAGCCCCCTGGACACTCCACGGCTCCGGACACCAGGAGGCTCCGGCTGGCGGCTGCCAGGCAGAAGCGGGGCCGGGAGCCGAGCTATGCGGCCAGCCAGTCCTCTACATGAGGGTCAGCCCCCGACTGGGCCGCAGGGAGCGGGCTGGAGACCCGCCCCCACTGCCCCCAGGGGCTGCAGGCCCCAGAGGAGCCTCCCCACTAACCATCACCCACCTTCCTCCCGCTCCCACCCGCCCTCCCCTCTTCCCGCTCCGACTCCAGGCCAGGCTCCACGGGAACTGGACGGTGGACCCCAAGAGCAGCCGCCCACATAGGTCGTGACGCCTGTGAAGGTGACCTGCTGGGGAGGGTGGGCCGAGGCTGCTGAGCAGAGGCGGCCCCCCACCCCGCCGGCCCGAGGGCAGGGAGGGGCCGCTGGGGACCCCAGCACAGCCATGAGCGGGGGGCCAAGGAGCGGGGTGCACGGCCCAGGCTCCAGCTCCCAGGGGCCACGCCCCAGTCCACCCCGCCGGGCAGCGGACCATCACCTCTGGCGTGGAGGCAGCGCACTGAGGCTTCGGGCATTAAAATTCATGAGGCCATATTGACATTTTTTTAATCTCTGACTTTTAAAAAGTCCCTGTGGGGCTGGCAGAGAACCAGCTCATTACTCTAGAAACAGGGAGGTGAAAAGCCAGAGGGAACGTTTGCATTTTGCCTCTTGCCGAACTGTGTCCTAGGGCGACGAGTCCTTGCTCCAGAGGGTTCTTCCCTGTGGGCGAATTCCAGAAAATGCTGGAGAGGAAGTCCCCTCCTGCAGCACCCACTGGGCAGCGAGACTACCTGTGGAGGCTGGGCGGCTGGCTGGCCAGCAGGGAGCCCTGGGAGCCGGGACCCTACAGCACCCTGGGTTTGGTCAGCCAGGTGTAGGACATGGTCAGCTGGGCGTCAGACGGCCAGAGGCAGGAGAGCAGGAACACGGCGCAGTGAGGCCAGTGCTGGAAGTCTTGCCTCCGACAATGACGTCCACGAGGACAGTGGTCAGCTCATCCGGGGAGCATGGCATGGGCCAGGCGGCGGGCATCAGGGAACGGCGGTGCCCAGCTGGGAGGGAGGCAGGACCCAGCTCTTTCCAGGGCCCGGGGCCCGGCCTGAGCGAGGACCGGACCCGGCCGGGACCGTCCTCTGACGAGACCCTGAAGCCCCGCAGCTCCCGGCCTCCCCGCCGACCCCCACCCGCGACGCCAGGGCCCCACCTCCCCTGGCGTCACTGTGCCACCTACACACGCACCCACGAGCACCGCTGGGATCCTGGCTTCAACGTCACCCGCACGGGTCAGCCAGGGGGGCTCTGGTGCAGGGCCAGCTGCTTCACCCCGAGAGCCCTGGGCCCAGGGTGCTCCTCAACCGTCACAGCCTGACACTCCCGCCTGGCCCGGAGACCGGACGGCAGCTCGGCGACTGGGCTCGGCCAGCCCCGCCCGCCGGAGCCTCCCACCCAGCGCCCACGGCCCTCTGGGCTGGACCTCGGTCTGGCGCCCGCGCCCGTATCGGAGTTAATGATGGACACAGCCTTGGGTTTGGGGCCAGGGCTGTTTGCTGGTGACCAGCTGCGTCTCCCTGTCCCAGGAAGACGGCCTTTCCTGTGGCCCTCGCCATCCCCGCCAGGCCTTACCCACATCTCGGCCGGCGCGCCCTGGAGCTGACTCCTGCGTCCCTGACCGCGTGGCACCGGTGGGGGCGGCTTCAGCGGCGTCTCGGTTTCACCTGCGAGCGAAACGAGGCTTCCCTTAAAGGTTTAGGGGTCACACGCGGACGCCCCACGAGGGCGCAGTCTGCTCAGTGCAGGAAGAGAATCAGCACAGACATCAAAACTGCCTCCGGGGATATTTCTCCGAGGCAAGAGAAGCACACGGCAGGGGAAGCCAGGCAGCCTGGGGGACGCTGCTCAGGGGGGTGGGGTGCGGGAGCAGCAGCTTGGAGGAGGCGGAGTGTGGGGTGCGGCGGGGGTGCGCTGGGGTGATGGTGTGGGCCGGGCGGGCAGGAGGCTGAGGTGCGGCGGGCGGGCGGGCGAGGGTGTCGGGGCGGGGACTGAGCTGGGAGGCTGAGGGCCGGGCGGGCGCAGGCTTGTAGCTGGGTGACTGCCCGCCAGGACCTCTGATGCCACGCGTGCGCCCCAGCTGTCCCCCGGCGCCGTGTCCTGGGAGCCCGCGCCCGCTTCGCTCTTCCTCCCAGGCTGCGCCGCGGCAGGCCTGGACCAGGACCCTCGGGACCAGCCTCAAACCCCTCAGAAGCAAGTCCTGGCGCTGGAGTTGCTTCACCCGGAACAACGTGCCCCTGAGGCTCACCCCCGCCCCCCAGATTTACAATGGCTCCAGCTGCAGCCTCGCGCTCACGGCCGGCCCTGCAGGAGACTCGCTGCCCGCGCAGCTGGCCAGCCGGCTCCCCGCCTGGACGACGTGCTGCCGCCTCTGTGCTCACCTGCAAGCGCGTGCGGGCTGCTCACACACACGCTCTTTCTTCTCTTTGCATCACTATTCTAAGGCTTTTTCATATCGTCAAAGAAGTTTTTCATATCGTCAAAGAAGAAGCTGCAAAGGCGCAGCGGGCCGAAGCCCCGGGTGGGCAGTCCAAAGCCCGGCGGAGCCCTGGGCCACGCGCCGCCCTCTCTCCGGGCCCCACCAGCCACGCCGGCGGGGTCAGAGTCCTCCCGCGTGCTGGACCTGGTGCTCGCAGGGTGATGCCGTCTTCATGGCCGGTGGGTGGTCGGGAGCCCGGCGGCCCGGGGGCCGGCTCATGTCCCCTTCGGGGGCTGTCACGGGCGGGCGGGGCTGCTGGGCCTGCTCCCGGCGGTCCACGTCCTGCCACAGAAGGCAGGAGACGACCCTGCCGTGGTGGCCGCCCCTTGCTGACCTTCCCATCTTTCACTTTGCCCTGGGCTTTGAGCGGAAGGGGGCGCCTTTGCTCTGGCACCGAAGAACATTCAGCTGGACGGAAGAGGTGCCAGTTGCAACCCTGACGTTTCCTAAATTACAGGAGAAGCTTCCCGTGTTCTGCTGGGTTTTGCCGCTTAATTCGTCTCATTGCGCGGGCGATGGGACGAATTAAATTCCTGCTCCTAGCTGGCTCAGTGGTTCCCTTTGTTAACCCAGAAGTTAAACAGAAGCAAATAGTCAGGAAAATGCGTACATGCCTCCCCCTCCACCTGGACCAATCACAGTGTCTCCCTGTGGGGGTCCGGGGAGCCCCCAAGCAGACGCCAGGGAGTCCGGCTGGTGGGGCCCTCCGGGGCGTCTGGGGGTTTCATGTCCTGGCGAGCTGGAGGTTGCTGCCTCATTTGCTGTTTCCAGAAATACTCGTGCAACAGCAGCTTTATAGCTTCTTTAAAGGGGGCGGCTCTTCGGGACGGTTCAGTTAGGAGGGGCGCTCTGGGTCAGGCCGGTCCGGGCGCTCCGACTTCATGCCCGGCTGAGAGCTGTGCCTCTCTGGAAGCGCAGAAGCTCCCGACACC